GATTGTCCTCTGAAAAATTATAAAAGAAAAGCTCTTAAAAGGCGTTTCATGGAAATATAACATGTTTTCGAAATTTCCCTCTCTATTTACTTCAAAGTATCATATTTTTTTCCAAATAAAACTGAGATTATAAATATATCTGTTATTTTGTTTCTTGTTTTCGAATTTTTGTAATGTAAAATGAAAATAAATATTTAAAAGAAAACGGGAGCAAATCTTACAAAACCATTGATAATTTCATGAATTGTGAGTATAAATACACCCAAAATCAATCTTATATCTAGGGCAATAAAACCACTGTAGACCAATGTTATTATACTCAAAAAATTATGATGTAATAATATATAGGGTTGAAATTGCCACCATTTTGAAAATATTTTAGCCGAGTTGCCCCTATCGACTTCAGTATATTGTCAAATTTTCAGATTCTTTTTAATTATACTTTTCCCACAATCGATCGATGCAGTTCTTGGAGATTCACCCTGAATATCACAGTGTGAAGCTTTTATATAAATGATATTTATCCCAATTCCATAAGAGATATCTGTAGTGCAAACTTTAATTCAATGTTCAACAGAAAGTAGTTGTTCTGAAACAGTTTTTCATTTCATTTCGTATCTGAGAAAAATTTCTGCGAATGATCTACATGTTTTTTATTTCTTTTTCTGTTTGAAAGTTTCACACATCTTTTGTTCAGTGATGGAAGAGAAGTAAGTTAAAAATTCTGTTGAAAATATGCTGAATGAACTTTTGGTTAATAGAAATGTGGAGAATGTGTTTTTCCGTTAACCTCCTATCGCTCCCTCACGAATGACAATCTTCAGGGGACAGACAAAACGTTAACAAGGTTTGACCTTTCAACATTCGTTTCTAGTTCATTTTCTAATGGCTTCAATTTCTAATTAAATGCACGTTGAGATGAACTTTTGTTGAATTCATTCTGAATCAGATGTAAAAACAAATCATATGAATCAAACCTTACCTTTCGAAAAGAATACGCTGACCAGAAAACAGAATGTAATAGTTGCAAAAATGTAGAAGATGAGAAATAACGTCATTACTATTGGATCAGATCTGGTGAATACAGCCGACTCTTTATTGGTAAACCATCTGAATTTTAGCAAAACTACTATTATGATGGCAGATATAAGAAGAAAAATGAAGCACTTCACGAACCATGCTGACCAATGGAGCCAGTTAGGTAACCCCATAATCTTCATTGATTCCTAAAAACATTGAAAATAATTATTGACAGAATAGTTCATTGGAAAAAAATTACCTCTATTTCTCTAACAAAAGTTATTCAATTTTTCCAAATATTTTTCTAGAGATTTTATACATTTCAATTTTTTTTTCGATAGCAACGGCCTCATATTCTGAGTGTACTATGTTAATGAATCCTCGAGCCACTAAGTGACTAGCTCTGCTAATCGCAGTCAGGTCAATTATGTAACGAATCAGTATTGAATCAATTTCAACAAAATGAATTCTAGTTAGAAAAATTTAAGTGGGATTGTAACTGTATTTTATTATTTTTTTGAAGCAGATATTCAATTTTCGTAACAGGCATAGATCTTCATGGGCCGGCCTTTTCGCAATACTTAGTTCAAGTGACAGCCTCAAATTCAGCCTACTAAGATCTCGCGCTCGATATCGTGCTTCGCGTTGGAGATACGAAAATAAAGTATTTGAAAAAGTTGCTAGAAACCAATTTCAACACTACATATCAAATTTCAGCCCAAAATTCAAAATTTGATTTTTTTTGGAATTTGCATATTCAAGTCCGAGTTTCATTCAATGGTTCCGAATAAGAAGCTACAAAAATGATAAAATAGTCAAAATCAATGAAATAAATGTATTTAAAAAACTGAAATTGGAATTTATTTTATCAAATGTAAGTTAATCGAATTTAGTCTCCTTTACTACCCTGTCTTGAATTTTGAGGAATTTTTCAATTTCCTGTTGATTATGATTGGTTGCAAATTTGGCTAATCATCATTAGAGTAGCCTTATATTTTGTGTTTCAGCAGTTTTTAATTTGGGATAAAGTGTTATGTAATTAACTCTTCATACCCCAAATGTCAGTTTTAAAGTAAATGCGTCAAAGAAAACTACGAAATGCCTAATGCACGTCTTAATTTCTGTCTGTCTGTTTTAAAATTTGTTTCAAAATCTGTTTTTACGTTAACCAGCTGTNATATTTCAACAGTTTTCAATTTGGGCTAGGGTGACTGGTAAACAAGTGAACTATTTATAGCTCAAATGTCAGTTTGAAAGTTATTAGTTAATAATAAGGTTATTTGGTGATGCTGCTAGAAATAGCAGACAAGTTGGTCAAGAATTCAACAGAAAGAAAAAACATCCGCAACGAAATCGTATTCGACATGGAACGGCAGCCTCCGTGAAAAAACTTTTTAGTCAAATCGGAAGTGTATTAAATATTCGTCCAGCAATTGACAATCCAAATCAAAATCGAAGGTAACACGCTGATGTCTCAGGTTCAATTCATGTTAATCTCCAAATCAGTTTGCGTGAAAGGTCTGAGCAATTACATTTGAGTGGAGGGAAAATCAGAAAATATCCCGTTCGTCATAAAATTGAACCTTTGGAACCAAAGTTCGGCTACGTTCGCTACCAATAGAATTAGGAATAATCTACTCCTCAATCTACAAGAGATATACTTTCAGCTAGACAGAGCTTCCGTTTATAGTTTTTGGATGGTTCGAGAGTGGTTAAACGAACATTTTCCATTAGGTTGAACTGGTAGAAATAGTTTGTATTAAACAACGGCCTCCTTGCTCTCCTGACAAAACTCCAATGGTTTTTTACTTTTGAGGAACTATCAAGAATACGATGTACAAGTCTTGGACACGGAATCGACAAGAACTTTGTGAGAGAATACGGGAAGCATGCCGTAAAATGAGTATTCCAGAGAGTGGCTAATGATAATAGAAAAAGAATGGAAAAATGTATCAGAATTGAGGGCGGGTCAGTTGGGAAAGACAATATTTGGAACTGACTTCCAATATTAGAGTTTATTTCATTTGCTGTTGAATTCGTTTCATTAATAATTGTCATTTTTTATGGACGAAACACAAGCACTAACAGAAAAATTCTTAAGGAGCTCTTAGAGCGGAGCCTGTGCGAAAGTAGTGATTCATATTGGATTTGAATCGCTGGAGACTGAATCCATTTGGAAAAACTTTCCCAGGAAGTTTATTCCACATAAACGCCGTGCCGTTCTCCAAATGAAAGAGTTCTTAAACAGTACACCTCGAGTACTAAGTTGAAACTTATAACGATGAGCAGCCACAATCCGTCGCTTATTTCTGATAAGTATCGCTCTTGGTGGAATGAAACGTGCCAAGTCACTTAAACACTAGTCCAGGCAGCTTATGTTTTTTTGCGGAAAGTTTTGCAAGAGTTTTGAAAATTGGTTCTAAATAGTATTTTGGGCTGCTGAATATACTATACATAAATATAAGAAGCTTAAGGAACAAACTGGAAGACCTGGAAAGCCTAATTAACACAACACAGAAACAAATCCGCTCAGTAGTTTTAACAGAAACATGGATATATGAAAATGAAACCCAATACTTCAACATCCCAAACTTTGAAGCAATACATACATGTCGAAAAACAAGAGGTTTAGGCACAGCTTTATATGTACATCAGGGAATACCTTATAGTGAAGAAAACTTAAACATGCAATACTGTGAAACAACAAAAATAACGCTTAAAGAGATTGGACTCAACATCATATCAGCTTACCGACTGCCCTCAAAAAATTTACAAGATTTCATCACTGAATTGGATGAAAGGTTAGATATAATGAGGAAAAAATGTATTATCATAGGTGACATGAATATTGATCTGTTCGAGAATTCCGCAACAACCCATGACTTTAGGCAGGTAATTTTAAGCAATGGTTTCGAAATACAAAACCGTAGAGGGAGCTACTCGTATAGGTCTGACAAAAAATTTAATCATAGACCATGTCCTCATAAATAAAGGAATACGATGTAGCATCAATATGAAGGAAACTTGTCTCTCAGATCATAACATTATGGAAATCCAAGTGCTATCAAACTAAGCTTGGGAAAAATAGAATGAAATCGAGTTAACTACAAAAAATTCAAAAAAAATGTTACAACTCGACTAAATAATGGGAAAATAAAAATTTAGAATAAATCATGAAAATTATTGTAGAGGAATACTGAATATTGAAGGTACAAGGGGGAAGTGAATGGATAACATCGGAGTTTTTAGACAAAATCAAGGAGACGAACCATGTATATAAAAAACTAAAAGGATCGCCCAACCCCCAACTCCAACAAAGGTTTAATCATTTGAAAAATGGGGTTAATACATTGGGCCGTTCCTTGAAAGGGATTTGGTTTGAAAACCAATTGACCAAGGCGGGAGGCATTTTCAAAGATGTTGTGGGTCGTCATTAATGTTGTTCTTCATATCGATAGAATAAAAAGGAAAACTAGTATAGACAGAATAACATTAGAAGATGGAACCTGTATTCCAGATGAGCTCTAAGTTGTTGATGAATTCTCTAAGTATTACTTTGAGGTAGGAGAGAAGATCACGGAGAATATACAGGATACGGATTTGAACTTCATAGAACAGAAAAACAATGTATCCAAATTTCTCCAGCCTATTCATAAAAAAGAAATTTCAACTATAATTCACTCTCAGAAAAATGCTTCAGCACCAGGATATGACGGTATTAAGGAGGACTTGCTGCATATTATTGATGAAATCAGTGATCACCTAGTAAAGACATAAATGACATTATGGAAAAGGGATACTTCCCACCGGAACTAAAAATAGCTAAAGTGATACATATATATAAAAATGGAAAACATGATAGGCTAAATAACTACAGGACCATATCATTGTTTAGTGTTTTTTCTAAAATAGTGGAAGAAGTGTTGAAAGTCAGAATAATGAGATTTATCAATGACACTTTCTGCTATGACTTTATATCAATATGGCTTTCAAGAAAAAAAAAAGTACTCTGAGTGCAACAACACTTATTGCACATATCGCTTCTGAAATGAATAAAAACAAATATATAATAACGGTATTTGTAGATCTCAGAAAAGCATTTGATACTGTGAATGTAGATAAGATTATGAACAAATTGTTCAATATGGGATTCAGAGGTGTTGCTTATAAACTGCTAAAAACGTACCTAACAGAGAGAAAATTGTACACAAAATTAAAAAACTATGTTTCGAATTTTGAAGATGTTCGTACATTAATGATTTTTTATCCGAAATGACATGTTCGTGGTAACTTGTATCAAAATTTCTCCCAGTTTGGCCTATATATATGGCGGGGCATTCACCACATTCATTCACAAATCATTAATGTACGAAAATCTTCAAAATTGATAAAGTTAATGTAAAGATCCTACACACATGCGAAAAAGGGAAAATGATGAATCTGTTGGAATCTATGGAAATAAACAGGTCAAAGAAAAATCCCAATTGTATTGTCCTCAACGAACAAGTTGATTTAAATAATAGTCCTCTCCTGAACCTATAATCCAGATCCCAAAACCTACATTATATTGAAAGCTTTGTTATGTTCATGGATTTTACAGGTATATGAAACGAAGGTACCGGGTAGCAGGTATATCAGGTATATCAAATCATTTATGATAGAATAAGCAACATAGGTATAAATTACTCAGATTTAAATGTAATCAGTTAGTTTTGAAAATGGTGTAATAGCCGAAACCGGTCAACAATAAAAAAATATAGTGGAAAATAGGCAAAACTGTGTTTATGTAGTGTATCCTCAGTGAACATGAATTTCCACAAAATAAACAAGTCGTCAATCGAAGAACTGTTGATAGATAATTAACTCCAGTGGACAGAGCATATCAACAAAGTGAATAAAAATTGTTTCAATGACAGAAGCATTAAAATGCTGTGCAAAATATATAAACCACAATGTCAAAAAAACCAATATATTACAGCTATATAGAATCACATATAAGGTATCTCATACCATGTTGGGGCAATGCATCACAACAATTAATTAACAAACTAGGAAGAGCGCAAAACAAATCAATAAAAACTAAGCATAAAATTCTTCGAAACATTTAGCGTGTTCGCAAGGTTTTTTTTATTGTTCTTGAGAAAACGAAGTGAAGAATTCGTCACATTCAAACGGATTTGAAATTGAAGTCCAGATTTTAATTAGT